ATATATATATATATATATATATATATATATATACGTTTATTTATTTTATGTATTCAATTGTTTTACAACTGTGTATTTTTCATTCATTCCAGTTTTCTTATATGTCTTTTACTGTTTGAATTCTCATTTTGTTACACCACATAGGTTTATCTGTTTCCGTAGTTCATGAGCTAAATTCTTTTACAGTTGAGCTTATTTTTCTGTCTTTCGTCATAATTTGTTGTCATTTTTACTACAGGTACTTAGACTCTGCTTCAAACGGGTTTTATTATCAATTGGAAGGAAAACAGGGTTGGAAGAAGAAGGTAAACACAGGAGCCGATCCTACTGGTACTCATCATCTTTATCACATGACTCCAACGTCTCTTGGAAGTGATCAAAAACAGCAGAGCTCTGATTCTGCAACATCAGTTCAGAAACCGCGAAACCAGAAGTCGTCCGCGGGCAATACAGTGAATTCGCGGTCAGCTGTGTACTATTATAATTCAAAACAGTGATTTTTCGTTTCATTGTTTGTGATACTCTATTTCTCAGCTAAAGCTGGTTGATACTTTCATAGATACGTTTTATTTTTTATTTACACAGCTGTCTCGTCTCTCTTATATGGAACATCATTGCAGGAAGAATCGATATGCATGTTTATTTATTCCAAATGATCGGGTTTTATTTGTAATGCATTTGCAGGGCGAATAAGCGGCCTGGCGAAGAGGCTTCTAACGGGTCTGTTAATGGAGTTAACCAACAACAGTGGGCATCTACTTCAACAGCTCAGCAGAATGGTGGTCCTAAAACTTGTCGACCTTACTTTACTCAGGCGCAGATGAGTTATGGTAACCGCGTTGGCGGCTACCGAATGAGTGGATTAGATTATTGGCACAAAAATGGGAATAATATGTCTGACACTATGAAGCGTCAACACTATCACGATAAAGATGACGCCCATGGAGACAAAGCAAAAGCATATTACCAGCGAAATGACCGTTGGCAGTCCCGAGGGTCTCATCCTCAAGCACCTCCAAGGTTGACCCCAGCGCAGAGACGCGCACGTGGTCCTCTACCGGATTGGGATGACGATGGTGGTGAAGAAGATAATTTTGATTATATGGATTTGATGGAAACTCAGTACCAGCAGTATTACGCTATGTCAGCTGTTCCACCTTTTGACCCCTCAGCGACAGCAATAGATTCTGCTCTTGCGGCAGCGTTTCCTCAGCTTCTTCTGCAGCAACAGCAGATGGCAGCAACTTTAGCTTTTAGGCCACCTATGGCTTTGGTGAGCCCCCATTTACTTTCACATCCACCACCTGCCATGCAAGCTGCCACTGGTACAGACTCACGACCGGATTCTGTAGCATCTTCTCTCACTTCAAATACGGTTCCTCAAACACCAACTGCTCTTCTTTCTCCAGCTGGACCTACAGCTGTTGTTTCTTCAAAACCAGAAATTGTAAATATGGCACCTCCAATTGCTGCCGGCCAACCTTTTGTTACAGTTTACCCTAATGGTGCCTCAATGGTCCCATTGTCGACAGAAGGGCTAAAAGATCACTTAAGAAAACAAATGTAAGGATTTAATTTTCTGTTTTGTGGAACATATAAGTGATGAGTTGGATCAGCAGTTACCACTGGGGAGTTTTATCTGCCAAAGTCGTTTCTAAATTAAAAGTCGGATAAATACCCTCAAACTTTTGTTACGAAAGGTTTTGCCAGAAATAATTTTGTAAAGTAATTAAGTTATTGTTATTACTGGTAGGGAACTTCAGTACCTAGGATTCTAGAAGTTTAAAAACAAAATTTGCAATCTGCTTCATTTTAGTGAATATTACTTTTCTGCCGAGAATTTGCAAAAGGATTTTTATTTACGAAGAAAGATGGATGAAGACGGGTATTTGCCTATTTCTTTGATTGCCGGATTTCCGCGTGTCAGGACTTTGACGAGTGATGTTGAACTGATTATGGCTGGCATTAAAAAAAGTGATAAGATTGAAATAAGCGCTGATGAATTAAAAGTTAGTTTTTTCATTATATCATATGAGAGCACTTACCACATTAAGAGACAGTATATCAAGAATGTGGTTGGTCAAGAGATATTCTTTTGAAGCGTGGGGTGAATTAATCTAATTTTTCTTGAGGATATTCAATTAAATTGTTATTTTTGTTGGAAAGTAGTTCGGGCTGAGTGAAATGTTGCTTTGTAGGTACGTCCTAAGGACAATCCCCAGCAGTGGCCGTTACTGCCTGCTAATCCAACTACGGTTAATATTGATGAACAAAAACTGCATAAAGAATCATCTTTGATCAAAACCCAAGGAGGGAGAAAAGACTCAAAACTTGAGATAAAACCTGATAATAGGGTCGACTTGAAGCAAGTTGACGAGAAAACAGCAGTCAATGAGACGGAATTAGGAAATGAAAATGACGACGAAGCTAGTCTCGAGTCCGAGGCGAAACAAGTTGCTGGCTCTGTCAATCAACCGGCTGCAGGGTCTGTGGTAGAAGCGGGAAATTTCGATGGCACTGTAATCGAAAAAGCAAATGATTTTGAGAAATCAGAGCAAGACAATATAGATCGAACCAAGCACGTGGCAGCTTTAGAGCCGCAAAAGGGAGTTCCTGGTGATGCGACAGCGAAGGAAACGGTAGTCACAAATGTGGGTGATGCAGAGGCGGATACTTGGCATGAGGTTGAGTAACTGCTGTACTTGAATGTTTTAATTTATAGTCCTTTTCACCTCATTACTTTAGGTAAAAAGCCGTAGACAGAAAAAAGGACGTAATTCAAGTGGAAATAAGCAGGGCGGTCATCAACAGCGCATCCAATCTTCAGCCCCTGCAAAACAGATGTCTTCGGATGACCTTGGCTTTCAGTTTGATGAGGAGTTGAATAGTGTTGAAGCTGAAATGCCGTTTGGGAAGGAGAAGAAAGGCACACATGGAGACCGATTGTATGTGTCGTAATTTCACGTTTATATTTCATTTTTTGCCATAGGTATACGAACTTACTCATTTTAACTCTTCTTTTAGGTCTGTTCCCCATGAGTCAGCGGATGAAATGAGCGACGCAAATGTGAATAAATTAATTATTGTCCTCCAAACCCCTCCACCTCCGACAAAGCGGCAGTTTGATCGTACGGGTGACTATACGTCAAGAACAAAGATTAACCAAATACTGAATGAAGAAGTTGAAATGGGGCTGCGACGCTATGAGTATGAATTGTGGCAGAATAAAGAGATTGATCATACGGTAAATAATTAACGAGCTCCTTATAAAACCGGACGATTCACGTGCTTTTTCCAACGTTTACTGCTATTTTTTAGGGTACGCAGGTCAAAAAAGTGGAGACGGTTTCACAGGAGGAATTTAAGCAGTTAAAAGGGGAAGTTACAACTTCCAGCGAAGAATCTTCAAAACCACCTCCTAAAGTTGTACCTACGCCGAACGCTGTTCCAGCTATTTCCTCGGTATGGACACAGAAGGCACGTGAGAGGGCTGCTGCAGCTGCCGCCACTGCGGTACGTAGTTATCAATTTTGAGAGATCGAAGGCTGCTATGGGTTTTTGTAGTGATCTCATTAATTTTTAACTCACTTATGGCTTTATGAGATAGAACAGAATTTTCTTTTTGTGACTAGCAGAAGTATTAATTCCCAACAAGCTGCATTTCTTGTCGTAGAAACAAAATTTGATATTTTCTTGAGCAAAGCCTGATAGTGGAAACTGAAAATCTGTGGAAAACAGTGAGAGGTGCTTTCGTTAAGGCGCTAAGTTTGGCATTTTAAGGCTGGTATTTTTCCTGTTTACTGAAGAAATCTTCAGTTTTGAACATCTATGCTATTTTAGTGTAGTAAAGTTTTGGGATCATTGTTAGCTTTATTTCTTGAAGAAATCAGCGAAACACACTGTATTATTTTTCGAAAGATTTAAGTGTTTGGTTGGGGAAACTCTGGTTTGCAGTTATAAAAGATAACTTTGTGAAATTCTCTCAACAAATCCGTACTGTCTCTTTCTCGTACTGTTTCCGAACGTTGTTTACCGATCTTTCTGAAAAAAAACTTATTTCGATTAGTGTTTTACCAAGCCACTTCTAAAAGTTCTTGAATTCTAAATTTTTCTATCTTTTGTGATTATTACCATCATTGTTCCACTTGTTTTTTCACAAGTGACTCATAATATAGGATTTTCTGTCAAAAATTGCTATTCAAGGAACTGGCCTTTTTGCTGAAAATTTTGCTATGTCGCATCAACTAAATATTATCTGTAGTTATTAGACAATTCTTCAAGCAAAAGGGATTAGTTTTTGATCTTATGAACAAAAAATTTTTTTATTTTTCTCCGCTAAGTGGAGCAAATTACTACATCCTTTTGTTCTATGTCAAATGATATTTTTCAGCCGAAAAGTCCTCTTGCTCAGAGGGAGAAAGTCAAGGGTCCTACACCTCGTTTTTATCCTGTAACAAAGCAGAGTTCTCTTCCAGACGCAAATACTCCTAGGAAACAGAAAACTCGTCATAGCGAGAACCCGCCAGTAGAAATGCCAGTTGGATGGGTTTTAGGAACTCGCTCTCGGACATCTTCATTAAACGCGTACGCTGCTTCTTTTTTTTGTAGATTTTCTTTACACCTGGTTTATAGCTAGGTGTTATGAATAAGTAGAGAATGGAAATTCAGTTGTTGAAGTTTCCTCATAATTGGCTTCAAAAAATTTAAATCTTTTCATAACATCTTTTGTTTTAGCGATTCTACGGACTCTTCAAATCTCCGCGCTGTTCCAGGGACGTCGGCTCCACTCCCCTTACCGCAACATCCTTCTGTCACGCTTCTTCAAGAAAATGGTTTTGTTCAACAGGTTAATACCCCTTTTTGAAACACCATCCCAGCTTTTTCCCTCTAATCAATTCATCTAGTTCAGTTCATTATTTCAGGTTTATACTGACTGGCGATGTTCCTGCCTAAAACAGAGGCAGCACTTAGGGTTTGGGACCACAGAAATGAATACATTTTATCGTTTTCTTTCAAATTTTTTGCGCGATAATTTTAATCGTAAAATGTATGACGAATTCAAAAAGCTAGCGTTAGAAGATGCCGAATCTGGTTTCAGGTCTGTTTCCGTTTGTTTTTACGTTTTCAGTCTTATTGTTGGGAAACAACGCTGACCGTATTAGATTTATGTTTTGATTTTAAGTATCTGTTTATTTTGCTTTTAATCTTTCCAAACTTTTGAAGGTACGGATTAGAATGTCTTTTCCGGTTCTACAATTATGGTCTAGAAAGGAAATTTCGGCCGGAAATCTACCTCGACTTTCAGCGGGAAACTATCAGTGATGTAAAACGAGGTGAATTATACGGGCTAGAAAAGTTTTGGTCTTTTCTGAAATATTATAGGCATTCAAGGCGGTTAGAAGTGGATCCGTTTTTGAAACAGCAACTTGCCAAGTATAAGAATTTGGATGACTTTGCTGTGGATGTAAGTTCTCGGTTTTTTTTGGGGGGGCAATAATAAGTGGATTTCTATGAAAATATTGCATCGTTTCGACAGTTTTATACTTTTTTGCGGAGTCACTGATTCTTTACAGCCTGCGGGAGCAGCAAAAAAAGAACTTGCACGAGACACACAGACTGGAACTGCGGTTTCAAAATCATGAAGTAACATTGGATTTTTGAATGTTTGTTTACTTTTTATTACAAATGTTTGAGTATCTTTTATGTTGCACATATAGCAGTTTTGTTGAAAGTTTTTATTTCGAAGTTACCTATAGTGCTTGTATAGTCAAATGCAAAGTTGTTATTTTTCATCAAACTTTAGTTTTTATGCTTACGGGGTAGCAACATTTTTATAATGCTAATTTCATCTTCGATATTGCAGTGCATGAGTATACTCTTAACTGGGCATGCTTTGCTTTTCATTTTTAAACTTTGTATTTGTCTTTACTAAGTTTTGTATGTTTGCACGTTTCTTTCACGGTAACTTTATTGTCTTTCCTTTAGTGATTTTTTGAGGCACTGCAGATTTTTAACTTTAGAGTCTCTTTTTCTTTTTCTTTGAGGAAGTTTGCGGCGTTATTGAATTGATCTTTTACGCGATATCGCATTGTTTGCAGGCCAGTTTTATGGAAAGAACAGTTCTCATTTTTTTACTCCTGTAAGTGTTTAATCGTTATACATATTATGGATGGCACGTTAGGTAGGTGCTTTGGTGAAGGTTTCAGGGATCAGCTCATTTGCTATTTTACCGCAAAATTTAACTATCGGGTTTTCATTAACGCACTCCCTTGCGTATTAGTGATTATTTCTAGAATAATTTCGTTTTGGTTTTTTTGCACAAAACTTACTTATATTGTTTGTTTTTTGGGACATTTTTTTAAAGCTCGGTTCTTTCGCTTTCTTTTCTTGTTGGATGTCTTGAGCGCTTTTTTCGTTATTCTGTCAAATAGGTGTTCGTATTTCTTTGTTTAGGCGCAGTGGATAGACTCGCTACTTGTACAATTTGTTATTTGTTTTTCACCAGTTTTGTTTTTATTAAAAAGTATAGTTGCTATATCCCCGTCAAGTGATTAACTTGTTTGTTGGTTAGTTATAATTGGTAGGTGTTAGTGAAAACTTAGCTGCTGAATTCGTGGAGTGAATAATAGTCGGATTTATTCAAGCTTGGTCCTCCATAAAATTTTTATTGTTTTTGACCAAGTCATTTTTACATTTTGTGTGAAAAGTTGTCATTTGAAGTTTTGGTTGATTTTTATCTGGTTTTCCGAGTGTGCTTGTATATGTACGTCATAGCGATGCGATTTTATGTTTACTGAATAATTTTTCCCACTAAAAATGGGATCAAAAACTTTTGTTTTTGCATCGCTCTTGATGTTCGTTTACTATAACAGTTTTCATTCTTTTGTGTGTCAGCCGTGTAAATGCTGTTCTTTATATGTAATTCCTGATGTTCATTAATTTTTCCTTCATTTTTTTTACTTTTTTATTTTTTTGGTTTATGCGGTTATTGTCTGTCATGATTGGTTTAGGGGTGGTTTGACTTTGTCATGATTAATATAATTTAAGAGGCCATAATGCTTTTGCGTCACAGGTGTCAAGCAGTGATCTCAAAATAATTTCTAGTTGCTACTTCAGTTGTTATCCTGTTTTTTCAAAGGAAATTTTATTATAAGGCATGCTGGAAATTGCGGGCACAATGGCCTTTGGTGGAAAAGGTTAAAACATCTCAGATTTCTTCTTTATCTTTTTTTTGAACATTTGCTCATTTCTTTAATTTTTTATTGTTATATTTTATCCTCTTTCTCTGGCTAGCTATTTAGCAAAATTTTTTTAAAAAATTTAAAAAAAAAAACAAAAAATTTTTTAAACAAAACAAAAAAAAAAACTACTTTCGTTTGTATGTTCGTTTTATTCATATAGTGTTTACAGTTAACTTTTTTCTTTTATGTTGTACACTTTCACGTAAACCCTTATTTGTTTTGGATTATGAAATGGATTTTATCTATTTTATCCTTTTTTTTTTCTTTTTCATTCGTAACTTTTGTGCGTTGCCTCTTTCTCTGTTTTCCTACTCTTTTATTTTTTATAATAACAGTTTATAATAAATACTTTATTTTTCTTCCTTCTTGTATTATGAGTCTGACATCACGGCTGCTTCAACGAGACGTCTTGAAGCATTTAAACATTTTACTGCTAGATTTTAAGTAATACAAAAATCATGAACTTCTTTTAATTGGCTTATCCAGTCGATGGAGAGACTAGTCAGTGTTTGTAGGACAACACAAATGTTATCTGCTCCATGTTTTAAGCTTTGCTGTATAAAATACGGCCACAAGAGGGATTATCAATGTGAACAGCTGAAAGTTGGAGGTAGTGTAGTTAAGAAACTTGGTGAAGTACAGGACTTCGTCTAAGCAGGTGATTTCAGACGGGCAAGGGAAACGTCCTTTACTGTTATGGTATCTAGAAAAAAAATGATATTAGTTTTTTTTTTTTGGTAGGCAGATTTGACAGTTTTGTTTGTGAAAAAAGTTAGGGCTGTCTTTGAAGGTCTCACCTAGTTGATTGTAGCCACTGCTGGAAGTACGGTATATTGACGAACTCATTGTTGATTGTAACGTAGCATCTTTGTGTTGGGACGGTTGAATGCTGAGCTTCAGTTCTAGAACTTGGAAGGAGTGAATTGCTACCTTACAGTACCCGAACTTGGGCTTTACCATGGCTGTGTTAATTCTTACGTAAGGCTTTTGTGGAAGTAGTGTGTTTTTCCAGTTAGAGTCACCCTTATTATGCACACCTCTAGCCTTTGGTATTAGGATTTGTACAGCTTTGTAGATGTTCTGATAAAAATTGTGGCTCTTCTGTTTAAAAGATGGATTGTGACAAAACGCTAACTCTTAAAAGGCTTTCCCTCACTTCTGCCTTCTTATCTTCGTCTTATATTAGAGTTCGAAACGTGAAAACAGTAGCTTTCATGGAACAAATTGGGCGAGTGTGGTGGATGGAAAGGTTAGTTCGAACGGAATAATTTTTACGAGGTTGTCTTCGACAGATGAATTTCTGCTTTGTCCTGCAGTGAAATAATCCTCTTAAATTTGCTGCTGAAGGCCAGATTATGCAAAATTTACCGTATGTTACTTACAAGTCATTATGGCAAGAATTTTTTTTATCGTCTTTCCTCGTGATTATTTGCAGTTCTAGTATTATTCTTTAAAGCACCATTAAGCGTTAGGGATGTTTTTATTTGGACATAAATAGGTCGTTGAAGAGCTGCTTAGCAGTGTCTTTTTGTCAGCCCAAACATAACTTCCTTTCAGTTTTTTGTAGAGAGGCCATTTTTCATCAACAGTAATCGAATCGCTCAAGAACGTTTCTTTTTAAAAGTCGCATAGACGAGCCACGACGTACACCAGAGTGCTGCTTCACCGAATTTAATGTCATATCCTGGGGCATCCGCTTCACTATATCCCAAAACTCAAACATCTAACGCAATTGTCCGGCGACTGTAGTATAGTGTACTCGAGGGTCTTCCACTAACGAATAAGCGGTTGTTTCAGAAGTAACTTTAATTTTCACTTGCTTATATGCGCTATTTCATGCATTAATATCGTGGAGTTTAAGCAGTAAATTACTTTTAAAGTATTAACAGTGACAAAAGTTCCTGGACGTTTCGGATAATCACCAATCACATGGCATACTGATGAATTTCTTACAGAAAAAGTGGACAGTGGTGCAGCACAGAAACAATGTCATCTGTGGTATTTTATATGACCTTGTCTATTTGACATGGGGTAAAGAAAGCATGGTGTTGAGACAAACTTCTGTCGGACTGAAGGAGTGCTTCTGCCAAGGATTACTACAGAAAACTTGCTGCAAAATCTTACCTTATAACAGCTCCTACAAAGTTCCCGTTATGCGTGGCAGTTCTAATTTTTAAAGTGGCATGTGCTACATAATCTGTTGAACTGTTGGAAGATACGCTGAAAAATGATGAGTAACTTTTTTTATGTAGTCAATGAATTAATGAGTTTGTGGTTCTTATCTGATTCAGAAGTACTCACTTAATAAGGAGTAAATTTATTTGAAAAGAAAAGAATTAGAAATGGGGTACGCTTAGGAAAGTTTAGGAAGATGAATTAAAGCTATTTTCACTTGCAGATGATATTTTCGTGTTCGCAGAACGCAGGATAGTTGATTTGTTGAAGAAAATAATTTGTTGTCCATTCGCTGGAACAGCGCTGAAAACATATTTTGAGCTCATCAAAAAAATGATTGATCTATGTGGCTATTTGGAAATAAAACTGTGATAAATTATTGTTAAATGTAGAGTAAAGGATATTAGAAAAAGGTAGCGATTGCTTTTTGGTGATGCAGAAGGAGGTGCAACTTTGCGTAAAGAAAAGTAAGATCTTGAGTGAAGTGGCATTGCAACTGAAGCCCACAGGTATAAGTGTTACTTTCTCGTTATCGTCCCCATTATCAAGGAAACAAGTAATTGTCTGATTTATACCAACTGTTAATGGTACACTTGAATTGGTGGAACAGTAACCGGTACTGTCTAAAAGAGTTTGAATTTTGAAAATTTTATTTTAATTCTTAGATTACGAGGTAAACAGCAATACATATTTGTGTACCTGGTTTCATGAAACGTATCTGAGTGAACATCAAGTTCATCCTTTCATCAATCCAATGGATGTCGTTATCTGTGTCGTCTTTGTCAGACTCCTGTACAAACATCTTTGAGATCTTGCAATGTAATTCATAGTTAAGTAAAAATGCAGTGACAAGACTAAGGGTCAAAGCTAAAAAAGTTCACTGACTGTAAAGTTATTGTAACCGCAGTGATTGAAAAGTTAATTTTCATTTCATACCAAAAAAGAATTGTGACATTGATTCTACACTGTCATTTGATTGTATGCATTGAAGAATTAAATGGAATGATTACCTCACTGTTAGTTTGACCACTTAATCTATTTGTCCTGAAATAAAATATTTTTAAGCAACAATGAGAGATATCAGGACAAGTCTTAGATATTGTTGTTTGGGCAGTTAAATTGGAGCTTTAAAAGAAGGCCATCTAGTTTTCTTGCTATTAGTGCGGCTAATCAGGCAAAAGTTTTTGGAAGGATTTCGAGTAGGTAGAAGAGTGCTATGCGCCGATACAAATGCTCCTTATACGTGTACACATAATATGTATCCAAATATAATACATCTATCTACATCACGTTTAACTTTAATCTACCATTCCTGATCTAACTTGACAAACCGATTAATTTAACTCTTTTCATGACAAAGAAAGACAGTAAAGAGGGCAATAAGAATATTAGTTAGGTGTTACAAAGGAAACCAGTTGACGCATAATGTCCCTTTCATTTTGGCCTGTTTAATTGAAAGGTTTTTTTTACTGGTTGGAAAGCTCCATGAATGCCAAGTTGGAATAAATATTACAAAGTAAGGGATCATCATTTATCATGTGTTTAGTCCTTCAAAAACACTGTAACATTTATGGATTTTTCCCCCGTGCATTTTTTGTTGAGCTATGCAGGAAAGTACGGAAGCAAAAGTGGGACATGCCAAGCAGACTTACTTCCAGTCTACACTGAAATGAGCGCTGCTTGAAGGGGACAGTGGGGTATATCCAAGCTCGTTGTCAATGTCAATATCTTGATATTCCCCGTTATAGTAGTAACCATAGAAAACAGAATGGCTGCTTAATGTTTTGAACGGTGAATACTCCCAAAGGTTAATTCTGAAAGTTGAGAAAAAAAAACATTAAGCAACTCTATGCGACATTTCTATGAATTAATTAGAAAATTTGAAAGATTGTTTTCATCAAATAATAGAGCGGTTACAATGAGCTTGTAGTCTGAGCCAAAAACTAACGGCAAAATCTGTGCATTAGTAAACGAATGATTCAGCAGCATATACAAGAGACATGATATGGACATCTGAACGTAGCGTAAAAGTCGAAAAACTGAAGCAGTCACTTATATATATATGTAAACCAGGTTGTCATGGAAACTAATTGCATCTTTAGAACAAGTCGATTCACGATACTTGTTTGAAGAAATTATTTCTGTTGCTCATTTACATTGGTTAGGTTTGAACAAATCAAAAGTGATTTATTTTCAAACTGTTTGTTGAAGTTGAACTGGAAAAACTGCTTGTTAGTGAGTTGCTGAACAGTCGCTTCTTAATAAAATTACTTGGGTCATTAATTTACGAGTATCGCCACGAGACTTTTCACCGTAAATGTTGCAGAGTTTTGTGTCCAAAGTTTTTCAAATAAACAAGCAAACAAAAAAAAAAAAAAAAAAAAAAAA